GTTGTGTCAACAAGTCAACATCGCAATATTAGCTTGGATAAAATGAAACAAATATTTTAAACTGGAATAGATAATTAATAAAAAAATAAAAACAGAAAAAGAAAAAGATATATATTTGTTACTTGAAGACTGAGGCGGAGAAACAGTGCACGGCCACTTTTTACAAGGTGGACTAAAACGTTAAAGAAAAAAATCAATGCGACAGATCGAGAGTTGAATGACGACGAGAAATCGAATGTTGTACGCGTTATTACGCACTTGGAGTTTACGGTCGCAAATCTTGACCGTTTATTGCGCTATCGAACGCGACGAATTATTTAAGCACTGTGGAAGGAATACCTTAGTGCATTAATCGCTTGGCGTTTCCATCGGCAATTGATAATTAATGATAACGATGCAGCGATTTAATAACTCATTCGCGATCACTGCGGCACTCTGACCGATGATAGTTAATATCGAGCGGTTAGGCAATATTTGTTCGGTGGTTGACAATAATTAATACATTCCCAAGTCGTCACAATGGGTCGCCGCATAATTGCGTTGCACGTAATTATATCAGCAGGGACGGGGGAGAGAGCGAGCGAGCGAACGAGCGAGAGAGAGAGAGAGAGAGAGAGAGAGAGAGAGAGAGAGAGAGAGAGAGAGAGAGAGGTATTACGTTATATATATTGTAAAATCGAAATGTGGCTCTACAAAGAGAAGAGAAAGAGATGGACGGAGAAAGAAAGGGAGGAGAGAGAGAACGCTTGACCTAATCTGTCGTAATTTTTTAATGGTACCGTCGCAGATCCATCTTTTGACAGAGTCTCTCCCTTGACGTTATTATCCTGACTTGTGGTCCCGAGGAACTCGTGGAGGATCCTCGGTCCGCCCCGAAATCCTCCAGGAGCTCGAAGTTCCCGAATATAATCCACGGAATCCCTTTACCTAATTCCCAAACACACTCGGAACGTCGAGATCCGCTACTCGGGCATATATCCGACGTGTTACCGCATTCGCGACGAAACAGGAGTGGAAGTGCATTTAGTTAGACGCTCGTCTCATCGATAATACGACGGAGGACGTCTCGACTTCCCGCGCTAATTACTTCGCGCGCGCGTTCCAACTTACGATCCGTACAGGCTGTTTCAGTTAATTTCTTCCTTTTTCTCAATTTCTTTACGCAGAAGTATTGCACAAATGATCGAACCTCTTGTGGTCGACACGAACGTGCAGAGAAGTAAAGAAAAGAACAAATTGCTGGAACTCGCGGGAAGCCCTAAGCGGAAGAATTTTTGTCCGGCGTGAGACTTCTCGTCGCTTGCTTTGCTCTGTTCACGCGCGATAAAGAACCGTGCTACAGATTCGCGAATTGCCGCACGCTTCCTCTCGATACCCGCCTGGGCTCGATAGCTGCGCGTTTCCGCCACGGCTGCACGGGAGAAGCCCGTGCGCACTTGGTGTACTCGACGGAAGTTTACCCGCCGCACTGCAGTGGCGACGACTCCGTCGTTGCCGCGCGCGCCATTCTCGCCGAGAATGGCTTCGCCTCGCCTGTACCGAAATGATTTTCGCAAAGAGTGTCGCGCAGTTTCGCGTCACGCCGAGCGCACGTTTCTCTCTCGCCCGAACACGTTCCCACACAACAACGTTCCCTCTCTCTCTCTCTCTCTCGCTCGCATACATACACATACGCGCACACACATCGGCACACCTGACAGGTATCGTCACGATGATGGATACGCGCGCGCGGTTTTTTTTATTCGCGCTCGTCTCTTCCGGTCCCTTCGCGATCCCCTGGCAACCGGCCAGGATCGCGGCTTGCCTGAACCAGGACGCAGGCTCTGAAGTTCGACGGCGCGGCCCCGTTGGAGGCAGCGCCCATTTCAAAATGAATTTTTCTCCTCTTTCTCTCTCTGCCCCCTTCCCCTGCTGCCTCACTCGTTCACTCGCTCTCTCTGCCTCTCTTTGCGTTCCTTTTTCCGCGCGGAACATTCCGGTCGAACGAGGCCGCGCCGTCGAAGTTCGCGAGCCTGCGCGCGTATCCCCAGATGAGCTCGCGACTTTTTGGGACGCACTGTGTCTCGGTGACGATGATAGATAGGTGAGCGGATATATAGATTGACGTTGGTCGTGATTCTCTCCCGGGCGAGTTACTCGAGATGCCAGATATACAACTTCGGAGTGCAGTGAGGCTTTAATCGTCCGAATGTTGATTGGAATTATTTCGCGATTAAATTGACGTCTTAAATTAGGAGGTAAATGGCATGATTGGCGACCTCGATAGTGGAAGACAGCGTGATTGTTATTCTAGTTCCACTTTATTATGAGAAGAAATGATCTCTTATTGAAAAATATAAATGTAATCTTTTATTGCAAAGTACAAAATTACAGTAGAATGTAAATAGCTATTAAACTAACGAAGGAATTGTCTAGATTCAGTCAGAGCGCGACCCAGTTTCTTTCCTTTATTATCGAGCTATGCGTCCCTCGTGCGCAAACGAGATTATGACGTGTTCGATACTTTTTAATGAGACGCGAAGTGTAGTCGTCGCTGCAGCACGACGACTGCGGAATCCGCGGCGCCTCAGGTTGCCAGAGATTCGTCACGAACGCGGGTCAGGATCCTCACGGGGAAACGTCCCGGGCAAGAAGTTCCGACAGCGAGACGTCGTATGTAGCGCACGTTCGTCCGCGGGAAAAACAATTTTTCATGGACGTCTTGCAAAAGTTCGTATATTATCGCATAATCGTAAGGGCTTAAGTATAACGCCGTCGGCTCCTCTTGCTGGGGAAACCCGTGCGAGACGGCAAGAACATGTTTCTCGTACTTTTCTCGCTCTCTTCTCCTTTTCCCACCTGCTTTCTCCGCGTTTGCACTGTTTTCGTGACTCGCACGGGAAGGATTTCACGGACAGTTCGGTCGCACGTAAAAGATGAAACGCCAGCGGGAGAGTCGGACAGCGGCGCGAGGTCTCTGAGCAGGAAGCTGCTTGTGAATTTTTCAGGCCGCGATGAATTACCTCTGATAGCGAGTCCGGGCGCAGAGGTACGCGTGAGAGAAGACGAGACGAGACGAGATGAGACCAGTTCGGAGGAATAGCCGGGTGGAATGCTCGACCTCGCGCGCAAGTCGTAATAATTCGACGGATCGTGGCGTCCACGAGCATTACGTATTTATCTTGATGAAACGAAGTCGGAATCGAGTGGCAAGAGAGATTTGATCCCGTGTGGCAATCGTTGATCATCTGAAGCTGAAATCCGAACGGAGAGTACCGAATGTTTCGATTTGAAGCTTCGCCCAACGAATGATATCGAGAGAATCGACGGAATTTTTGAGTAACAACCGCGAAATATCGCGGTGTCATCGACGCAACTATTTACGCGCGATGATCCGTTAAATTACGCTTTAAAGAATATAACAATTCATAACGCCCTTTGACTCACGTGGTTATCGATAACTCACGATTACGAGGAATTAATCTGTGGGGTTAATTTGCATCTCAAATCTCGCCTTTTGCAAGTTTTATGAGGATGTTAGCAGATTAATTGATCTTAACGGTGGACTCACCGGGTCCACTGTGTGATCATATGTATACAGAGAAATTATTTACATCTTTGGGAGACACCATTATTCTTTGTCAGATGATAACAAAATTATACAGTTTAAGACGCGTATTAATAGCCATTACTTGAAATCCGTCTCAAATAAAATACTCAGATTTCAATGTAGAGCTAGATGAGAGTTTTTCAGCTGAATTGTGCGACTACAGATATCACACTTAATAATTTAACTGAAAAACTTGGATCTGACTTTGAATAAAAATGTGAGTATCTCATCTGAGACAAATTTCTAGTAACTGTTAATACGGATCTAAGATGTATATTAATAGTCGTTATTTGAAACTTGCCTCAAGAAAGATACTTAGATTTATATTTAGGTCTGTATTAACAGTCGTCACCTGAAACTTGTTTCATGTGAGATCCAGATTTTTATTCATAATTAGATTAGATTTTTTTTTGGTGTATTATGATGTATGGGCTACTTATATCTGCAAACACGATTCAACTGAAAGAGATTCTTATGTAGCTCTGAATTGAAATCTGAGTATCTCATTTAAGATGAATTTCAAGTAATAACTATTAATACGGGCCTTAGAATTGAATATTAGTTTTTTAGCTGAATCACGATTACAAATGTAACATCGCATATATTATAATTAAGAAACTAAAATCTAACTATAAATTCAGATTCCAGTATTTCACTTGAGGCAAGTTTCAAGTAACGATTATTAATACAGGTCTAAGACGCATGAGGTACAAAAATGAAGAATATGAAAGAAATATTTTTGTGTGATATTGCATGATCGAATTGATTCGTGCATTATGATAAATTTCTCTATATTTTTAAGAATTCTGAAACTACGTAAGCTCTCGAAATTCACGATAAAATCACCCATATACGCGCAGAGAACTCAGTCGTGAGTAACGCCGGCCCAGTTTACGATATTGTGCGATTCGCGACAGGAAAATCCAGGATCTCATCATTGTGCCTCGTGTGTCTGGGTGTACCATTTTTCCCCTATATTTATGAAGGCTCACGGATAGCTTTCTCCTCCCTCATCGCGAAACGTTTGCGGACGGGAAAGATCCTCTCGTGAGACGTCCTCGACAGGACGTAATATCGCATCGCGATTATAAACGTGCGCGATATTACGTACGACTCGCAAGAAAGCCCGGTGTGCGCCCTGGATCGCCATTTCGCCCCGATGGAAATGTTTCTGCGGGGATGTCATCCGTCGATTTCGAGAGGATATCGAGGAGAACCGTTTCCGCGTTACGGCCCGAGCCAGCTGTGGACACGCGCGCTCCTTTATCACGGCCAACAACACGCGAGCGTGCGCGCACGTCTCCTTGACGAGCAGCAGATATATTTTCGCCCGTGTGCTCCCGTCTAGATCGCGTTTCTTTCCCGGGTTAGCCGGCAGGTCGTATTTCGCCGATCGCGCGAGTCGACTCACCTGATAGTCCATGTAATTCCCGTAGCCCATGTGGTTGCATGTACAGGCGCATGCCTGAATGTGCCTCCGCATGTCGAGCTCGACCTCCTCGCCGCACACGCCTCTGCTCGTCGCCATCATCGTGTCCCCCATGCAATAGCCGCCGGTGCAATACATCCTCGGGTCGCTCTGGTCCAGGTAACCCCCACCGGTATCGTCGTAACCGAGGCCGCTGGCGCACCTGGAATCCGAAGCGTATCCCACTCGGGACTGAGGACGCTCCTCGTAGCCCAGTCGAGATTGGGGCCGGTGGAAGGTTGAGGATACATCCTGAAAGAGGAAAATCTCGTCTGCATTCTCGAGTCGCGTCCTCGTAGCTTTTCGGTCTGACTTGTCCTTAAGTCTTGAGAGAGAGAAACTTTATTTTGCGCACGTACCGCCACGCGCGCGCATGTGTGTGTGTGTGTGAGAGAGAGAGAGAGAGACAATGCGTCTACTACACGTTATCTCTCGAGGTGCGTGCGAGATAAATACACAATCGAGCGTGATTTGTCGCTGGACAATGGGAACATGATCGAACATGGCTGCGCGTTTGTCGATTGTACTATTGCTTTGGTTATTCGTCAATTAAAACAAGTGGAGTATGTGCAGTACACACTTCACGAGAGCTGTAATTGGCCGTGTTATACAACAAACAATGGAGGCGAATAATTATTTAAAAGTAACACTACTTTTGACAAAATATTGTTTCCACTAAAAAACAAACAGAAATAAAATAAATATCGTTCAAATCGAAATACACATATTCTCTCTCTCTCTCTTTTTGTTTCTTTCTCTTTCTGTCTCTGGACTCTTTTTCGGTGGTATTATGTAACTATTGATCGATTAATCCGACTTTTTAAACGAGATATCGTCTGTCAACCAGACAACCTCGGGAATCTCTCGAAATATTGAAAAATTTAATATTGGAAACGTACGGCAAGCATCCAGAATTCGGCAAGAATCTTGATGTGATACAAAGAAGGAATGCGAATAGGAATTGCAATTACGTAAGAGAAATGTATAACGTGCCACTTGCATCTGCGGATGAAATCTTTCTGGCCTAATCCGAAATTACTCGTTTCGATCCAACCGTAATTCTCTCGCTTATGTAACAAAGGACGTGTAGTTCTGCCGCTAGCAAGTGTACTACTAGTAGTAGCTTCATGAAGATGTCATTTTTTTTATTAAATTGTCACAGGAATTTGATAGAACACTCTTTTGTATTGAGATCTACGTTTGACTCTTACTTGTCCTATTTTATTTATTTTTTTCGTATACACAAAAAATATCATTCTACAGCTAAGAAAAGTGATTATTCGGTTTATTTTCCTTCTTTAAAGTTGAAGTTATCTTTAATAAGGAATATTTTCTTGACAATAGTCTTAAAGTATACATCACAAATATGAGAAAAGCTCATTATCACTTTCTGAAAAGAAGAAATAATTCTTTTTGCAAGAATATTACAGAATTCTATCGAAGAGAAACTTGGTTCGGTATTGTACAGTAAGTAAATCGAATTATTTTTTTAATTTAATATTCTTGATTGAAATACTAAATTTACTAGAATTCAGATTTTGTGAATAAACTTGATGCTAGTGACGAACTTCTATAGACTTGTAAATATATAAACTTACGAAACACAATACTTGAAACAAGTAACATTTACTTGAGTGTAATATTTTTCTGTGTGTGGCAAGTTTGGGTACGAAAAGGGGAAATCGTCGTTAGACGTTTAAAAAAATACTAAAATCGATGTTTATCTTACTCGTAAAAACTATCAACTCTTCAAAAATTAGGATAATTTCATTTTTTACTTGATAATCATGATAAAGCTTTTGTAACAACTTAATAAATCTGCTGGTAGAAACATTTCAGGCTCTACGCTGTTACGCCACAGCAATCTCGGAAATAGTGTTATAGTGTGACAGTCCCGCAGACAATAACAATATCCGATCGTCAAAGATCCTTCGTTAAGCATGTCTGTTCGCGACGAATAAATTAACTGTTCGAAACGGGCATCTCCGATCTCGCCATTTCGTCAACGCGAACGCGCACCAATGTCGTTCCAGCCGTACATATATTTAACGCAAGTGCCAGATATCCAGCCGTTATCCGCTCGCGGAGGATCGAGCGTGCGTCGTGCGAAAAAGGGGATTTTATTCCGTCGTGTTTATCTCCTGTTCATTCTCCTCGGTATATTCGCAGTTGCCGCGATTGCGCGCCGCGGTACTACTCGATGGCTTACGAGTAGCACCATATTCCGCGGTATGTACCGCATCGTCGTTCGATATGGACAGCGGCGCGACTGCCGGCAGCGCGAATCGCGGTTCTCTATCGCCGCCCGCTATCTTTACACCGCCATGGCCGATACGATATGGCGACCGTAACAGTAAAGTATCGATATCGCTAAAATAACCGGAACGTACGGCCTTTTTCTGAAACCCGAAACCCGTTCCGCGCGGGACGTAGGATCCTGAAATTCGCAACGGCTGCGTTCCGCCGCCGTCGCTATACGATTCCGAACGAATAGGGCCTGTAAAAGCGGTGTTGGCACCTCGTTCTACGATTTCACGAGCGCGAAGGGGGAACAACTCGTCGGACTATGCGCCTTCGCGATGCGCGATCGACAGTTCGTCGATGAGATTTGCCATAACCGCCGAACTCCAGCGAACTTCGCGAGATAATGTACACCTGATGTAAACGTAATAATATATACAACGAAATTTGTTCCGCTACTGTCTGGAAAGCTAGAACCCACTATTGAGATGGGAAAAAGATCAGTGATTGTTATTATTGTCGTGAAATCTTTCGCGTAGAAAATTTCCTAGGATCTAATTGGAACCCACTCCGATTTTTCCCAAAAATAATGACTTCTGATTGGGAAATCTACGAAGATTCGCGAATTAGAATATTTTAAAAATATATTTCTAAATGGGAAACAGATAACCTAAACAGATAACATTTTCTTTATAAAACGTTTCTCTAAATTTTTTTCTCGATTTTTATGTTATATTAATGGTGAACAAAATATCTGAAATGTTTTGGGTATTTACACACACTTCACGAGTATAGATACTAAAACTAATATAGATACTAGTTAATATCTATACTAAACTAGTATCTATACCATAAGTATAGATACTAAAAAATATAAATACTCAGATTCGCTACTTCGCCCAATCTCTTTTTAAATATGTTACTAATGTTTCTCTCTCTCTCTTGAAAAAGACAATATTATATTTTTACTGCAAGTATATCATAATTATGTACAATTAGATATAATAGATGATAAGTTATAAAAATAGATGATAAGCTATACAATATTTTTTTATATCTTCTCAAAAGAAAAGAAAGAATATACTTAGAAGGAAGAACATATATTTTATATTTCTGTAAATCATAATTACATTATAATTCTATAAATCATAATAATTATGAATTAAAATAATGAATCATAATTCTATAAAACATAAGTCTGAAAGCATTAATTATTATTAATTATTACTTTATTATTTTTCATGTCTTTCTCTCTTTACACAATTCTTTTTTTGTCTTTGTGTTTCTCATTTAGAATCATAATTTTAATTATTTGGAAAATTGGAGTTGACTCTAATTAGATCCTAGAAAATTTTTCATAGTTGAGATAGAAATGGAACTCCCAATTGATGTTGCAATAGGATATATCTATGTGGAACAAATTTGGATAATTTGGTCGGGGAATCTACATTATATTTGGGAGTGTTTGGGAAATTTCCATACGGGTGTGTGCCACTTTGCCGTGAAGTTTCCGAATTTTCCCTCCGACGAGTGTTATAGTAACAAAAAGTTCTTAGAGCGATATCGGGAGAGTGAGACGACGGGGTTAACTAGGGAGAATGCGAGAGCGCGTTCGCCGAGGCATCTGCGGTTCTCTCCGGGTAATGCTTCGAAGGAAACATTGAGGGATAGATGAACGACCGGCACGTGATCGCTTTGTATATGCGTTATGCATCCGCGAAATTGCATCCGCAGGCGATGTGGCCTGCGGCCAGCGATGCTGAAATTTAATAGGATATCGATACTTTTACTCTTTGATATCAAATACCACAAGTATCGACATTTTCCGCATACTCGTTGCTTCCGTCGTACGTATTGATACCGGTGCGCTATCATTATTATTCGCGAAATAGTCAAGATCTTCCTTTTCTAGGCGACGATTAAATCCGCGTGGCAATCCGATACGGCTTATCGTCTCCGTATCGTCCGCTGGCTGACAGCCGTTTCTTCAGCTACCGATATCCAATCGTTATCGACGTTGTATCACCGGTGATGTACACTGAGAAAAACATTTACCGAAAGAAATTCTTTTTTAATTTTAGCAACCCGTTTTATGCATACTATTGTGAACGCATTTTTTAAAATAAACAACAAATTTATTACTTATTCGAAGAAAATATTTCTTTTTATTAAAAAATCATTTATTAAATAAAAAAAATATTTTCTGTAAGTTAAATAATATTTATTATCAGATAGCGTATTCTTTTTTTTACTCCAATTTTTATACGTCAATTTAATCACCACACACACACACCACATACAAGCAAAGGAGTTTCATATATAAACATTATATTTACTTAACGAATATTAAATTTAGCAAATATATTTACGAAAATTGAAGATATTTTTTCTCAGTGTAAAAATACTTGGTGAAAAAGCTATCGACAAGCTATCAACGCTGAAAGAAGAATTTTGTTATCGAAATGAAAATTTGGTACACCTGATTAAAATTTAGTTAAAATGGGATTAACCAAATGTTTGATGACCGCGCAAAATTTTATTACCGCTATGTGTGTTTCACTTTCTCACTTGCCATTATATCTTACTTGACACAAATAAAAAAAGACATGGTAATGCCGAGCAAATCGTGTGTACCAAATATTTCAGTTCCAAAGATCAAAATAATTTTTTCAGTGGCTCCTTATCCGTGCACGAAGAGAGAATTTTATAGTAAAAATTACTGTGGGATTTTTTAAGCGCGGAATAGATTGATATTTTGCACTGATTCAATATCCTTTCATTTCATATGTGCTGCTGACATTTTAGGAACTGAAGTATGCTGTTAAAATGCTGTGCTATGCTTCTAGCGAAATTTATTACGTTCTTTAGCAAGGTAGATCTTACTGACACTCTATTCTCCTGGACTTATTAACAGCACACAGTTAAGTCGAAAAGAATTGATATATGAAAGAGAGAACTATAATATTCTCTCTGTGCGTGTTTATTTCGCGCGGGACAATTAACTCTCGATTAATGCCGATTATTCGCGCCACGCCGGCGTTCCCGCGCGATTCTGCGAGGATGCTGCTGCTGCGGACTCGCGTATGCCGTCGACGGCCTCATTCGAATCGATAGTATGCGGCTACACACATATGGCGAAATTCGGTGAGCAGAAGCGCGCACGTCGCGACGCACCGGGCCGAATCAATTTTCGGATACGGTAGAACCCCCAGCGGGTAATGGCTCTTCTCTTGGTTTCCACGACAAAGTTGCCGAGGACCTGGCCGAACTCGCATGCACGAACGGAGACGCGAAATTCGCGGCGAAGCTGGCGCGGGGCTATCACGAGCTCGTCTAGCTGACGCGAGCTCTGCCGAGGGATATATCCAGAGGTTCATATCGCCTCTCGTGGACCGTTGCTCTCGCGAGAACATCGCCGCCGTATTAATAAACGCGCCGAGTTGGCGGAAAAAAATCAGCTCGCCGCGATTAGCGACGCGACGCTTTTAGCGACGCATCAAACTTCGATTTTCACGGTGTGTATTCCGAGGTCGCGTTCCCTCTTTTCTCTCTTCCCTTTTCCCCGCTTTGCGTTTCACGCCGGGGAAATTCCGATTGCGGTCGTTTGTCTTACGCGCTTGCGATAGGACGGCATGGAGGGCGTTCGGGGATTATTGGCAGGAAATTTACAGGAGTGTTCTCGAATCAATGGCGGAGGTGTGTGTATTCCGCGCGGCCGATAACTCTCTTAGTTATGTACGGCCGCGAGTGGGTGAGGCTTTTTAAGTATGAAGCTTCGAAAGAGGCGCAGGGGCCGTCGGGTGGCGAAAGGGACGGCGAATTTTCATGCACGAGCAGTTCCCGCGATTCGTATTATCGATAGCGCGACCGTTCGAACTCGCTGAATCATTGCGATCTTAAAGTCCGACCTTTCCGCGCCAACTAAGCCCCCATTTCTCGCGAAGGAACGGCGAATTCAATTCTCGCCGGCCGATAATCATAAATACCGCGTGCACGCGCACGCACTTCTCGAGCGCGTTCGTTATAAAACGGCGGACTCGTTCGACTCTATTGGATAATTATCGTGTAATTCTCGCACCTGGAGGTGATATCAAATTTAATCGACACCCGGGGCGTAGCGGCGCGGCTCGTTAATACGAAGCTCACTGCGAGTATAACCGCGATTAATCGCATTAAGATGAATCATGCAATGTTCATTTCCATTTAACGACACGAACATAAAACCGAATTCTGCTTCTCCAGCGCAGAACGTTTCGCTTTTTTATTTTTTGTTTTTTGCCGATGAGAAATATTTCACTAGGAAATACACAAACTGCAAACCGCAGTGCGAACGTAATGTAATTTCATAAAGCCGTGTGATCGCGCAATTAAAATGAAATTTCGTTCAATTAATTTTTACTCCCACACAACTTCGTTTACACACACAGCTCGACGGTAATCGGAAAGCACTGTTACTGTTTTCCAATTATACCGTATCATTCTCACCCGGACACGGGTTACCCGACGTTATCATTACACCAACAGTAGAACCATCGACTATCGCATCGGCGCGACCAATGACACATTGCGGACCGAAGAAGTGAATCAACGTCTTTAAATTTTTGAAACCTGGAGCCTCAAACTGTCGACATCTATCAGTTCTGTCTAGTGTCTTCTCACAAAAAATAATATCTTAAACTATATCATGCTACAATTATTACTAGTGTATTCATTGTAATTGTATGCTTAAATTTTGGTTAAAATCTTACTAGATTGATGCGCGCGCGCGCAGAAGATTCATAACTTTTTTATTAAATTCTCGTACGAGGTTTGGACATTGATAAGAAAATTTGGAGACCTCGTTAGATGTCTGAAAAGATGTCGACATTGTTCATTTTATTCATCAAAATTGTTAATCCTTCAGAATTTGATTGCATTTTCTACACGAAGAGAATTTTTTTTATATAAATTTTTTTTAATTTTGTTATATGTTTCTAGTAGTGCAGAAACAAACTGTCATTAGAATCTGTCTTGTTGAAGAATTGAACAAATAAATTAATTTAATAGCACTCTTTCCAGTTCCTAAAATATAAATAGTACATGTGAAAGAAAAGGTCAAGCAATTGCTGCAGAATGTCGATCTATTTCTCGCTTAAAATCCTGTAGCAATTTTCACTAATTAAGACCATCAATAAGAGATAGAGAAAGATGTTTCGAAGCATGTGGATTGGGTAGCTTGATACAGTAATGCCTGAATAAAGAAAGATCCCGGATTCGATTTCCGGTCTAGTCTACTGCCCGATATATTTTCTCTTATTTCTTTTACACAACTTTTTACAAGTTGATTCAGCAAATTCATTAGATCATAATCGACAAGAATAACAGCATAATTTTTATTATAAATATTAATTAAATGTTATCGATTGTAAAAGACCAAGATGTGTAGGAACTACCCTCTTAACAGTTGTATAATTTTTATTATAAAATTCTCTTCGTGTAAATTCTACTTCACAAACACGACGACGAATCTTTTGCGCCAAATTGATTCAACTGTTTGCGCAGTCCGCAATGTGATAACAACAGCGCGTCGCGATAACGCATATTCAAGTAAGGCAGCAATGCTCAAGTACGTACCTGAGTATAAGACTCTTCGTGGTACGGCGTCCTGCGATGGCACTCGTCGTAGCACCTGCCGTCGTAGCCGCTGGGCGGCCGAGGATACGGATCCTGCGCCGCTACCGCGGCCGCGCAGCAGTCCGGGATCTGCGCCTGGTAGGTGTCATAGGGACACTTGTCGGGCTGGGCCGGTCGCGGGGTCTGATGCACTCGCTCCTGCGGCCCGCTTCCGTAACCGCCGCCGCCGCCACCACCACCACCACCACCACCACCACCAACACCGCCGCCTCCACCTCCCCCACCGCCACCGCCGCCGCCGCCGCCGCCGCCGCCGCCGTGATGCATCGTCCACTCTCGCGGACCTCTCGCCTGACCTCACAACACCACCTCCCCCGATCACTGCATCCTATTCCCACGTGGCGCGCGATACGCAATTCCCCGCGAACTCGCCTCGACGAGCCTCGTCTCTGTCGCGCGGCTCTCTTCGCGCGGGTCCATCCTCACTGCTGCACCTATCTACCTACACGCGGCTCTTGCTCTCCTAGTGAGCGCAGCACGTGCGCCGGGTCCCGCTAGCCCATCTTCGACTCGTACCTGCGCGATTTCAGTCGGTCAGTCGGTCGGTCAATCGTGTGAGAAGTTACATTCGCCCTTGTGTACAATCGGCTGCATCAATCCTTCACGGCTGAGTCATTTTCATGGCTAGGGTGGTCTTTATTCGCGATACCAGTTTATTTGTCAGAGAAAAAGAGATGAAATTACGAAGATTACGAATTAGTAAAAACTGAGAATAACTAATAATTATCGCTAACGTAACAATCTTGGTCAAGCGTTGCCTTCATTGTGTTGACCTTTGGTTGACAGTATACACAGTCAGGAATAAAAATCGATGAAAATTATTTACAAGAAATGTTATCATTTCAAAGACGAAAAGAGTCGATTGGAGTGCAGGGCAGGTCAACGCGTGAATCTGAGAAAAATATTTCTCTCCTGTCTATTATGCTCAAAAAAATAAAATCTCCTTAGAAACATTCTCTTATCATTTGGTCTCAAGAGATTTTTCTAAAAAAATAAAAAGAAGTATATTCTGATACCTAAAAAAGAACAATTCTATTTGCAAGGTGCTATTTCCTATAATCCTATTCTAAATGAAAACTTTTACGGAAAGATTTTCTTCTTCAAACGAAGTTGACTCTATTCAGTGGAAATCCACTAGATATTATTCTAACCTTTTTTTCTTTTGAATCACGAGGAATATGTTTACTTAAAGCAGAATGCTCTCTTACCAGAAGAAATTTCTATCGAGAGAAAAAGACTTGCACTGTATGTGAAAGATGAAATTCCTCAGACTTTTTGACTGTGCTGAAGATGTTTTTCTTTGGATTTTGGATCATTAATTCCTTTGAGGCCATATATAAGAGTGTTCTGTTAAGGATGAGATTGTATTTTTTTGGATATAACATCAAACATTGTTATCCTCTCGACAAAGAGATATTATGGCGCTCACCAGAGCCGCTGGGCTGACCATAGCAGTCTCTAAGTACACTTTTTATCATGTTTTGTTCTTTCTTTACTTTATATCCCGGCATTTAACCACAAGTGGTTAAAGCTGTCCAACACATCCGCATTCACAAGATAACCCCTTGACCCCGCGATTCACTGATTCTTCTTGTTTCTTCGTGAAACGAAGCGTGGTGAGACCGTATATTTACTGGGTAAGCGAGAAGACACGTTCCTCAGATATTACGGGGAAACTTGACCGTCTAGTGCAAGCGCGTCGGACAGCGCTAATGCATCCGATTGCACACTCGAGTGCATCAATTCGTACGGCACGGTTGCACCAACCGCCACCTACACTGCTGGAGAATGGCGCGCCTTCAGCGCGTTCCACGCCGCTCGAATTAATGCACTGCATTACAACGGACGGTGTAACTCGGGAACCATCTGTATTCTCTTAACTGCCGAAAGTAAACGCTAGCTCTCTCTCTATCTCTCCCTTCCCTTTTCTCTCTAACAGTGTCTCTCTCCCCTGTTGTCTTTCTCTCCTCCGCTCTCTCTCTCTCCCCCTCTTTCTCCCTCTCTCCCTCCCTCCTTTTCTTTCTTCTCTTTGCTTTACTTTGCGCGTTCACGTATTTACGAACCGCGGGCCGTTCTTTTTTGCGTTATTTACCCGTGGCTCTTTTAATCTTAGTCCTTTCGAGCGCTTTTTTAGTGTCACCTCGTGTAGCTTTTAGATACTCGTACATGGTAACGGTGACGCTCGATCAACGTTCCAAGCTTGATCCGCCCATTGATCTTGCCCGGCCTTGTCTGGCAGAGCGTGCGGCAGTCGCTATGTAAACTAACGAGTCTGCAAATGCCAGGATAAAGGATCGATTCGCTCGGTGAAAACGCAATTATGATATATTAAACGAGGCCGGCGCGCGCTACTGTCAGCTGATCAGCAAACTAAATCACTAGAACACGCGATCGCTCTCGGTTACGATAACCGCCGGCGAAGATTCGCGATGAGTTTCGGGGGCGAGAGTTCGTCCGAAGTCGCTCCATTGAAAATCTGACGGTGTCTCGTCGATTCGGAAGCCGCACGGAGCTCCCTAATCTAAACTTGGAGCATTTATGCGGCCTTGGGACGAGCTGATGTATCGATACGTTCTCGTTATAGATTTCGGATTTCGTGTCTGTTATACGCCGGGCTATATAAATCACTGTGCATGTTTGCGTGTGTGTGTGTGTGTGTGTGTGTGTGCGCGAATGTGGGTACGCCGTAATTAGCGCCTCTTAATTTATCGCCATAAGGGCTATACAGACTCGCCCGGCTGAAACTTTGATAGAACGATAGAGAGCGGAGCATGTAAGCGAGCCCGTCTAAAGACGTAATGCGCCTATTCGGGACACGTTGGCGTGTCTTTGCCGCGGCTTTCGGATATATTAATCGCGAGAGGCGAACCGGATCGATCGCTATATTTAGAGCGACTATTTCGCTTCTCCGGCTCCTCCATTCCGACATAGTTGCACGCTGCTCAATTAGTATTACAAACTGGGGATGATTTAAGCTCGCGTGATATCCGAGAGACACTTGAACATAATGGACTAGGGAAACGTTCTAGTTGTATCTGGGAGGATGCAGGCATCCATTTATACCCTTCCGACAGGTTGTAACTGCTTGACACTCCAGCGTTGATAGGCAAATAAGGGGTAAAAGGAGTGTATATGAAAACTCACGACTGAAATGTTCGTGTACACTTCTGCCGGACAAATTTGCATCATTAATTTTGGAAACTTTGGATTATTAATTATTGTCACTTTTTAAAAATGTATGAGCGAAAATTATTTTGTACGAGCTTATGCGCCATGAAGAGTAAAGAAACGCGATATGTACGGGCATAATATATATTACTTTTTTATATTGAGAAATTAATCTCCCTCTTTGTCTTCGTTTATTTTTTTCTAATATTATAAACGTAGGACATAAAAGTTACGTTCCTCGGAGCAAACACTGCGAGTGGTTACTAGAGGCACATTATTGGGTTTTAGAGACTTGAAACAAAAAGCCCGTGTTTGTTTCGATTCAATGCTGAAACGAAATATTTAGCTTCTGTCTTGCTGGGTTCCGCAAATAAGATATTCCGCGTTTCCACGTGTCAAAAAAAAACTCTTTTAAAAATGTATAAATTTTTCATTTCAAATGAAATTTCATAGTACGCGTTCTGCGGGAAAAGCAAGAATGAAAGATCCCCTCAAAATTTCGAACGAAAATCAAATAGAGATGGAATTACTCTCCCTCTCTCTTGCACTGTTAAATGTATAATATTTTAAAGTCGTTAAATAATATTGACAATTACTGTAGTAATGATCCATTTATTTGCTTATTTATGATAAATATGAAATTATTAATTATTACATAAAATTAGTGCCGCGGTCGAAACCCGTCAGCCAACGATTTATTTGCTTTCCGTTATTATCGCGGAATTTTAATTAATATAATTATCGCTTTCGTTTTTCTCGAACGCGATCTGACACTTAGATACTCGAATTATCTGATTGTGGATTACTTACACGTGTGACCGATATTAAACTAGTACGTTGTTCGCCATTATAGCCGTAGACAGCAGACCGGCTAGATACAAACGCTGTCGATGCTATTTCGGGCAATTATTGCCTTTTACGATCTCGGCTGCAGAGAATCGCTTCGTAGGTTCCCGTAATCCGAACTTAATTCACGTGCAGCATCCATAAGATGACGTCAGTGCTGCATTTAACTCGCGCTTCGTTCCATCAGTTTATTCAGATACTCGTCTAAAAGTGTTTGATGATTGATATTAATACGCTCATAATCCGTCATCTCTTCCTCTCCTCTTCCTCCCCCTCCCCTCTCTCACTCTCTCTCCCTCCGCTTTCTCTCTTCTTTCGGTCGTATTATTCTTGCACGAATTACCGTTGCAGTTTCAGTTCATTTCACGAGAATTGGCCGAGAATTAGTTGAGATTTATGGCAATTAATTTTTATCCGTAGGTACACCGCGGAAATAGGAATCTCATGTATAACTACGCGAAATGAAATTATCCCTGTGGAAATTATATTTTCGCGAAATATAAGAGAGAGATCGCCGTTCAAACAGGTCACGCGGCGGACAGGGGCGGCCTCGAGCAGGATTCCGCGGATCGATGCCGTGAACGCGATGGGTAATTAAAGATTTTATCTACACGGTCGCATGATATCGATCAGCTTCTCGAGCATCGCGAGCCTCCTTCACGACGATTTGAGATCGGTAGGGCGGTCCCGTGATTGATACTCCAGGCAATCTCGCGCGTTCATTATTACCAGCGCGTATACATGCACACCTACACACATATACACTGCTCCAACCTACTCGCACCGCATAGCACGTTTCGCACGTTTACCGGAAATCAAAAATCCTTCCGCAAATACTTGGGAAGATATCAGCGGTGATTCTACCTCTGTATCGCAGGCGGCATAACTTGTCTCTCGACCAACAAACTCGAACGTGCATGGAACTGCGAATCTGTTCTCTCGAGTGAATTAGACGCTACGAGGAGCTATTGAAAGGGGACTTCTTTCGCGATATGCAGCGCGGTTCTTAAAAAAATTTTCCAATTTCCAATTAGGAGAGCGCCCTGAGTCGCGGAGACGAGATAGGAGTGATTTTTTGGATATTTAACTAACTGAATTTCTCCGAATGATTACGATACGCAGGTTTGCGAGCCCAATAGCCGTGATACTCTTTCAATCTCTTC